TATGAAGGAAGCTGTGAAAATGTTGCGCTAGAAAATAATACCGTATACCAATAGGACGCACTAATTCAATACACAGTCAATTGTTGAAAAAAGAATCGAGTTGGGAATCTGCTTCCTGTCATTACAGAAGAACATTTTCCTACAGATTGCCTGAAGAAAGAAAACAAAAAAAAAAAAAAGAAAAAAAAAAAACAGCGGCCCAAGATCTACAGTTCGATCAATCCTGTCTTCCATCCCGCGTTTGCTTTTTTCCACCTATATGTAAGGTGCAATGTGAGTATACGATCACCTGAACTTTTCTCCTTGTGTGGAGTATTTGAAGATTGTTTTCATTTTGCTTTAAGCACTAAGAATCTTCTCTTCGAAAAAAAAGGAAACAAAGAACAAACTTTATTGCTTGGATTCGATCATTGACATTCATTGACACAAATTTATCACGAACGAAGTTGATGTCCATTCTAAAAATCCCCCCCTTTCATTTAACATTCTAGTCCAAAACTACCTTCATTGAAAGACGAAGTGTATCTTTCCGCCTCGTAGAGGGTCGTTTGCGCATGTGCGATAAGAAGTGGAATGGCTTCTCGATAGGCTCTGCCACTTTCTCACAGTCCAGAAGTTCACCGGGAAAGGCTTGAAGTCATTTTTGTAGCCGTTTCGCTGAGCCCTGCCGCGCTCTCCACGGTGCAGCTCAAGAACGACACACCGTTAAAGGTAAAAAAAAACCAGAAAGGAGGGAGTTAAGACAGCTAGTCGCGTTTTGGATGTGGGTAGGCATTTGGGCCGGCTGTGCCGGCAATGTGACGGAAGTATGCCCTCAGTCACGTATCGCTTAACTCCAGCTACCCGTTCATGCCTCTTTCACGTGAGAAAGTGGCACGCTGCAGTAGTGTTGCGGACGGCGATTCTTTACACATGGCAAGGAGCAATCCCAGGAGACGTACCAGGCCTGGTCGTTTCGACCTACTCTTGCTGAGGTATAATATTCAGCTCGCGGGTCCAATGTAGTCTCTGACTGTTCTCCAGATTGTAACTGCGGTAGGCCCAAGTCCACCGCAATATAGATTGAGATTTGATTCCATTGTTCTCGCATACTACATGGTAATGTGGGAAGTAAAAAAAAAGTGATGTCCTGAAAGGAAATATATAACTTGCTATACAACCGCTCTTTTGAAAAAAAAATTCAGCACCGGGCTGATAAAACTCTTCCGACGTTTTTTGAGGTTTTGCTAGCTAAGTAGTACCCCACATTTCTTTTTTTTTCTTGGAATTATTTTCTTTTTCGTGTGAAGTTCTTCCATCACTGTTGAGTTTCGTGAAATAAACGATTAACGCAGAAATACAATTGGGAGACGCGCCGCGCTCAGAGACGTCCACATAATAAATTCATTATTGTGACTTCACTGAATTGCGACATGGGCTCCATCGTTGCGGGATTCTCTGAAATGGGTCTGTTGCACATCAAGGAGAGAGGCCGCTGTCGGATCAGAATTGTCGATCGGCTGGCGGAACATCTTCGGGTGTTGACCCTTTTGATCACAGTGCCTGCCTCTGTTTTAGCAGCACCGTCAGTTGCTCCCTGCTCGAACGGTAGCAGTTTTTCATAGGAAAACTGATACTTCTCTCTGTAAATTCGAGGAGAGTGGAGGAAGTAGAGTGAACTGGGAAGGTGGCAGGTAAGGATGGGAGACGGGTTTCGAAATAGGAATAGCGAATTTTGTAACAGGTGGTGTCGTTCTACCTCGCCCTTTCACATACCACTGGGCTCGTAACTCTGACTTGGGAAGAGGTCGTAAATGGTTTTGTATCAGTCATCGAAATCGCCAGGCTGGTGGTCTGTTGCCGTACTAAATTTGAAAATTGGGATTTGCTCATGAAGAATTTCTCACCTCACCGCTGAAGCCAGCACTAATTTGGCTGCCGGCCCGCGGCTGATAGGTTCATCTTAGAGCTCAATAATGATCCATGTGGTGGAAACTCTTTTTGCCGGGCAAAAAAATTCGGGCGTTTCTGCATACATTTTTTGTTTATGGATTCAAGGTGGAAATTTCTTACCGATGGTATGAAGACATAGGCCCACCGGACAATTTGGTACTTTGTCTAAAATGCTAGCGAGGAATGGCTACATCAGCAGTAATCGGTGAAAAACGAAGTTGAACGGTCAATAAAGCTGGGCAAAGTAAAGGCTTTCGTTCTCTGATGACTTCACAGAACAATTTCTGATACGGGTTCCCCGTAGGAATTTGCCAATAACGCGCCATGCGGTACGCACGTCTGGCACGTATGTAACGCATATATTCATGTAGGCATTCGCGCAGCCGGATTCACGATCGTTTCCATTGCTTATATTTACTTAGCAAAGTCAAACGAATCAATGAGCATTTCAGGTACGATTGTCATTTGTGGGCGATGGGCCACCCGCGCCCGCCTACGCGGGGCGCTTATTGGCTAAAATTTCCTAACGGGGAACGCGTTCAAAATTGTTCGAGTCATGATAGAACGAAGGCTTTCGTTGCAGCTTTTTGACCGTTCACTTCCTTTCTTTTCCCGCATATTTACTGCTATGTTAGCATGGCCTGCTAGCATTTCTAGACAGTATCCAAAATTAATAGTGGCCCTATGCTTTCAATACCTGCGTAAGAAAATTTTCCAACCTCTATATGAATCAAACAAAAATGTATCGAAAACGCCGGATTTTTTTTCCCTGATAATAAAAAGGAGTTTCTATCACTGGATTCATTATGACTCTCACAATCGATGGTTAATCAACGTCGTGCTGCGCGCCAAATAGTGCGACTTCAGCAGTGGAGTTGATAAACAGAAGGTATACTGTAAATAATAACAAGATGAAAAAATAAGGAATGCCTATTATCAAATCGGCACGAACTTCCTGCGATCCGGGCGCCAATTGGCCCAAAGCACGTAGAAATACTTTGAACTAACGAAAGGACGCTTAGGCAGTATATTGTTATGTTTTCGTGGGAATGCGCGGCCTGCTTGAGGGAATGATTGCAGATCAGGAAAATGCGTTTTTATCTTGTATTCACATTACAGGACTTGCACAAAAAAGCCAGGAGCGCCGCAGCGCGAGTGGGCACCCGAGGCTGTTACCAGTGATAAGGGAGTCTGCGCCAAAACCATGTGTCTTTAAGTCCCTTTTACTGGGTATTTATTTTACTTGACTCGATTAGATAGTGAACGCGCGCAGTCATAGCTGCACGTAAAAGTAACCATGCCCAATTACATAAAACCTCTTCGTGTACAATCAATGCGACCCGCGAATTTTCAGAGATTCCTTGCTTTTGTAAGATTTCAGAGGTTGTTGTGCCTTTATTGGTTAGTGAGAGTGCTGCGGCATTCTCATGCGAATGATTGCGCCACTCTAGTCGTTAACTACACGTCATCTGGGACGAAATATACAAGCCACTGTATACTCATCATTTCCCTTTTTTGACTCAACCGCCTACCGCAATTTCAGACTATTTCAATACCAAATCGCACGACAAATTCACTCAACGCCCTCCAAACTGGACAGTTGATTAACCAACATCACAACAGATACCCGGCAAGCGCGGCCCACGGCCAGCGCCCTTCTCTCAGCGCGGTCAAGATTTTCGACTTTTATTTTAATAATTTGTTTTCTTTGAATTTCGCACATGGCAAACACACACCAATACACACTTAGCGAACACACAACGATACATACACAGACTGGAAAAGAATGTCGCATGGCTAACTCTGCCCATTTTTCAGGATTTGTTTTGCAAATTCTAAGCTTTCATGAAGTTTAATTCAGCGTCGTGCAATCTCCGACATCCCTCTTCAACATCACGCTAAGGTACTCATAGAACGTGATCTAACGCCTGACCACTATGCTTCGCCTTGACCGCGCCAACTTTCTCGTTTGCAAATCAAAATCTGCATATTTGGGATTGCTACCCGCGTTGTGATAATATTGATGAATCTGTTTAAAAAAAGGCCAGTTCGGAAATAAGAAAAATTTATATCTGATGTATATACAGGTCTGACGCTGCTGCATGTTCGTTCCTGTAAGTCCGATTCCTTATGTTGCTTCTCCTCCTGCTCTCTCTTATCCTTTTGTTTTTTCTGTCTCTGTTTTTTGTTTCTATTCTACAGGAGTTTGTCGCCTGTTCGCGTATTTGTTAGGCGTGTATGAGCAAAAAAAGACAAATATAGCAAAGTAAATAAAGCGCAACTAGTATAAAGTAAGTTTAATGAGTTTGTAATCCGCGGCTGAGAAGTGGGCGTGGCTTTTGGGCGGAGCCTGCAGTGGTGTCCAAGCGCGCTCTGGTTGATTGACCTGCCGGTTCAAAGAGTGCGGTGAACTTAAATTGAGAAATGGCATTTCTGCGTGGGCGGTACAATGGTGATTTTTGTTCGAAAAGTGGTGATGGTGCATGGTGACAGATCGATGGTGAACCTCAGGTGAAGAACTGTATATTGAAACAGGGGCGTGCTTGCAATCGTCTGGAGGGGCGACCTCGCGGGTGGATGCTCGTCCTCCTATTCTCTTATCTCTGTTCTTCACTCCGCATACGATGAGTTTGTTGCTTGCTCGCGTAGTTTGACCGCTATGGGCTGTCTGAAGTTGATGATGTCATCAACATTGTGCGCAGGACTCTCTTCGGTCATTAGAAGGCCTGTCATGTTAAAAGTTAATGTTAAGAGTAGGAACCCGAACTGCAATGCGGGAAGATCTTTGCGGATACCATTGCGCAGCCTGTTCTCCCATCGCGTTTGGAGTAGCATTTTTCAGGGATAGATTGTTAGAGCTTTGAGTGGTTTGTTTCGCTAACGCATGACTTATGATCTCCTTACCGTTTCCTCGGTTTCATTTTGTCCTTCTTAGTTCTCCATACTATGCTATCATCTCACGAAACTTCCCTTCAAACCACGTTTTCTCGTGTTGTGAGGTTCATCCCAGATCGACAGTATTTTTAGTGTGTATCGGCTTCCGCCTTGATGAGAATCCGAATCGCATGATGGTGGCGTGGACGACGACTCCGTGGACATTGCCTAGTAATCTTGCCCTTTGTTTACATCCAGATCTAGACTACGTTATTGTGAAAGGTACGGTGCAGTTCACATTCTTCCATTTCGCCTGTCAATCCTTGAAGGGTCAAGTCATTGAGCTTTCTTAATTGAAGGTTTCTTTTACGATTTGCTATTTAGATCCGTCGAATGGCTTGGAATATGTTGTATTGGAGGAACGTTTGTTCGAGCTGAAGAATGATAACTTAGAGGTCTTGGAGAAGGTCGGTTTTTGTTGATGTTGTAGGTGAGCTGCTCCTGAAACTCACATTTGTTCAGGTGAAAGGTCGTTCCTTCGAAGGAAAAACATACAATCCACTGTTCCCATATTTCACCTACATGAAAGCCGAGAAGAACGCATTCCGCGTTCTTTGCAACACTTTTGTCACCACTGATCAGGGTACTGGTATTGTACATCAAGCTCCATATTTTGGAGAAGTAAGTGTTTCTTATTTGATGAATGATTCAAAGGCAGTGGGCACAGGCTGGGGGCGAGTTACTGCTAACGTCGTTGGAGGAAGGGCTGGTTGGATGTGTGCACCCTCGCAGCCCTTCCAGTGATAATGGCAGTAAGCACCCGTCCGGGCTGTCGTGCCCACTGCCTTTAAGAGGTACCATCGAGCGGACTTCTCTGTTTCGCCAGAATTCAGTTTTTATTTTTTATAGGCTCGAATTTCAGATTTGCAGCATTATTTTAGGTAGTTTTCATACTCGATAGTTTTAGATTGATCACCAAACCTGCCTCGAAAATGGAATAATCACAAAGGATATGAAGATCATATGCCCTGTGGACGAAAGTGGCCGGTAAGACTACTGAGTGCTGTTCGGCTATTTTAACCCCGCGCCAAAAGGATTATTTTTTCGGAACTTCATAAGTAACATTCTTTTCCGATTCAGTGTATGGCCATTTTGTGATAAAATTCTGGCGCCAGAAATAGTTTTTGCAGCTGTTTCCCGGCCGAGGACCTAGAAATAGTCATAACCCCCGCAAATGAGAGGGCGCGGTAGGAGCATGGCTTGGGGCGCACTTACGGCAGATTCTCAGCACTGGAGACTGGCTGAGGATGGCATCATTGTAGGAACAAGACAGCTCTGGCTGCGCTGTTACACCCCGCGTCACACCCTATCGTTTGCAGGGATCTTTTCTGTAAGTGTGTGTCTCTGACCAGGACCATCGAATGCCTTAGCAGAAAATCATGCGAAAGAAATATTCCCTTCATCCTCTGTACCTGAGATCACATTTTTTTCAGCGAAACATTTTATTTTTTATATTTAACGCAGTGTGGTTGACCTTCTAGGTTCACTGAGGAAGTGAGCGATTTCGCAGGAATGTATGTGAAAGATGCTGATAAGCTGATTTGCAAGCGATTGAAGGAGAGCGGAAATCTTATCAAACAAGGAGAAGTACTGAGATTACCGTATCTGTGGTGCTGCCTTTCTCGTCATGTGTGAATTACGTCTTACAGGTGAAACATTCTTACCCCTTCTGCTGGCGTTCGGATACTCCTCTGCTATATAAAGCTGTTCCGTCTTGGTTCATTCGAGTGGAACATATTGTGCCCAAACTTCTGGCAAATAATGAACAAACTTACTGGTGAGCTAGTTAGCGTGTAGTTTCTACGCTGTGTCCATTATAAGTATTTTGAGCTGTGTTTATGCTTTCCATCGGCGTTTGAGCGTAGGCCAGCGTTTTGAGTGATTAAGAAAAAATCGATTCAGCGTCGAGCGTGTGCCAGCGTATTAGCAATTCCCGCGAAAAGTTCAAAATTAGCCGCGAACAGCTCAAAGCGTTGGCATATGCTCGAAACGCTGTCGCAAAGTATGAACGCACGCTTGGTAGGGACCTTGTGTTCAGAAAAGAGCATTGCCTTTGTTCAGGGTCCCTAATTTTGTAAAAGAGAAGCGCTTTGCAAACTGGTTACGAGATGCCCGGGATTGGGCAGTATCTCGTAATCGCTTTTGGGGAACTCCAATTAATTTGTGGGTGAGCGACGATCTGGAAGAGATTGTGTGTCCCTCGAGTATAGCCGAACTTGAGCGACTCACTGGTACCAAAATCACCGATATCCATCGAGAAAGGTATTTTTACACATTTTATTCACTTTTTGTGATTTTATTGTAATTCGTCTCAGTGTCGACCATCTCACCATTCCTTCCAAGACAGGTCGTGGAGTTCTGAAGCGAGTTAGCGAGGTAGAGCTGTGTTGCTGTTATTCTTTACGCTTCTGAGTAAATTGTTCAATAAAGGCAGTGGGCACGAGTGCTGGAGGCGGACGGCTTTTGCCAGTGATATTGGTGGAAGGGCTTCAGAAGGCGCTTGGCCACCCCCACCAATTGACGTTGGAGACAACTGCCCGTCCCCAGAAATCGAGCTCACTGCCTATTCAAGCCTTAACTTTTCTACCCTCTTTCACGTGGCTTTGCAGGTTTTTGACTGCTGGTTCGAATCTGGCTCTATGCCCTACGCTCAAAACCATTATCCTTTTGAGAACAAGAAAATGTTTGAAGATAACTTCCCGGCTGATTTCATTGCTGAAGGAATCGATCAGACGCGAGGATGGTTCTATACACTTCTCGTACTATCCACTGCTCTCTTCAATAAGCCACCATTCAAGGTTCTGCTTCGAAAAAATTGAAATATTAGTGGCACAGCAAGCGCAGTTATTTTCAGAACCTCATTTGCAATGGACTTGTGCTTGCCTCTGATGGCAACAAGATGTCCAAGCGTAAGAAGAATTATCCAGACCCGATTGAAGTTGTACAAAAATACGGTGCAGACGCACTCCGCCTGTATCTTATCAACTCCCCTGTGGTACGGGGAGAGAATCTCCGTTTCAGGTGTGTTAATAGGTGTTTCAGATTGTGATGTGAGATGCTAGCTTCTGTCAGTTCAGTTCACAACTGAACTGACAGAAGCTCATCTGAGTACGAGCATCAAAACTCGTGAGTTCCTTAAATGGACACTATTTGCAGAGAGGAAGGAGTGCGTGATTTGCTGAAAGATGTTTTCTTGCCGTGGTTCAACGCATTCCGATTTTTCGTGCAAAACGTTCAACTTTACGAACATGTATGTTTTCCTATATTTCCTGTACCGTGCTCCTTTTTTTGAGAACAACAAAAACACATTTTGAATAGCGGCGTTCTGGGCACGGATAAGCTTCTTGAAGTTTCGTGCTCTGGCGACTGATTTCCTTAGCCGGCAGCAATCTCCAGCGTCCATCAGTGACCAGCATCTTTTCGAGCATCCCGCGAGCGTCAGCGAATAGAAAAGTATAGATGTCGATCTAACGACCAGCAGCGTCCACCGGTGGCCTGGAAGATAGAGTATGGGGAGGTATGAGGGTAGTAGACATCTGGATAGGGCATCGTGAAATTGCGCCGTGTGAAACCGCACCATGCAATTGATAGAGCACACAGTTGTGCACAATGTACGTTCTGTAGTAGTTGACGGTGCGGTTGGGCACGCCGCAATTCCGCGACGCCTAATCCCACTGTCTGCTGCACTCTCACTTCCCCATACTTTCTACTCCTAGATGCCGGTGGACGCTAGCGATACTTTCCGAATCGCTGGAGGACGCTCGAAAAGCTGTGAACGCTGCCGCAAAGGGTGAACGCAGGCTCAAAGTTTACTGGCTCATCCAGTGAAGCGTTCTCCTTCCGTACTAAAAATGCTTTATTCAAAACTCTTTCACTGTTTGTTAGTGAGATTTTAGAGGAATAGAATATTTTCATTTGAGGGTAGTGGGAAAGTATTCTCGATGAAAGAAATGAAGAGCGAAAATGTAATGGATAGGTGGATTGAATCGTTTACCAACAGTTTGGTGCGGTTTGTCCGCAAGGAGATGGCCGAGTGAGTTGCCAGTTCTACCTAAACTCTTACAGACATTCATTTCGGGACTGGAAATGCCGCTGTGTTAAGGACTGCCTCACGTCATTTAAAGTAAAGTTAGCAAGATTTGTTTCAGATACCGGCTTTATGCGGTGGTAACTCCTCTTACGAGGTTCTTCGACACATTAACTAACTTGCTACATCCGTTTGAACCGAAAGAATAAAGGTCGGCCCAATTTTTATCAATTGCCTCAGAATAGGAGAGGAAGAACTACATTGTTATAGGGCCGATTCGATCAGCATGACCAAACCATGCACCTTCTCCCGTTGCGACGTGCTTCTCATCCTCATTGTTCGACTTTATGGCACCATTTACGCTACGTAAAGTAAGCGGAAGATAAAGCCATACTTTTCTTCTGCCTCAGACATATTTACTTTGTAGGTGACTGGGGCTTCCGAGATCTGTACACTATACCTTGTGCCGACTTCGGATGATAGTTCTGATCGACACAGTTGTGGAAGGAGGTCAATGCCATGCCGCAGAATGCACTTCGATCTAGTTGAGGTTTTACGAGAACGTAAAGCAACCTGATCAAGTTTGTGAGCGCAATATTTGTACATTTTGAAAACGAATTTTTTTTTCTGGAAGGGCACCTTCTTGCTGTATCAGTGGTGCGTTCGCTGCGAATAATGGGCTCGTGTCCACACGGCTGCTTTTCTCATGCCACTGAATCCGTTCCTCCGCAGTTTTCAAGCGCCTACTGCTGCAACATCTTGCTTAAAAAAATGACTGAGAATCATATCGATACAGATCCTATCGCTTGCCGAAAAAAAGTGGTCGGCATCGCGCCAAAAGCACAGGCGCGGACGCCCCATTCTCTGCAGCGGACTAGACTGTAACATCCCGACTACGAGTGCAAGTAAAGTTTATAAGTTTTGCAGTACCCGCTGAAAGAAATGATTGTGGTTAACCGAGATGGCCAATTTTTGGATGATCTGAAGAGCTTGGAGCACTATATTCTATCAGAAGTGAATATTCGCCAATTGACAGTATCCCAAGACAAGCACAAGTACGGTATCACCCTTAAGGTACGAACCCCGCTAAATGTCTTTTGTATTCTCAACTGTGGTGTTCTGTGTTTTTTTTTCAGGCGGATCCTAACTTTAGAATGCTCGGAGCACGGCTGAAGGGCGATCAGAAGAAGGTCGTGGACTACCTCAAAACTCAGGTTACCGAGAACGAACTAGAACAGTTCCTGGTTGAAGGCGAGTGGCTTCAGTGTTTTGAGATATCGGTTAGGATTAGTGGGCTGCGGAAAGGTTCCATAGGCGTATTGCTTCTGAAATAAGACTATTTTTCTGTTAAGTGTCGCTCATTGCACATACAGTCCAGCGCCCAGGTAAAAGCCAAATCCCTCCCCCACCTGACTAACTAGCTTTATGATTTGTCAAGTTCGCTTGGTCGGCATCAAGTTCGTATGGGGGAACAAAAACAACTGTAGATTGGGTTGGCCTTGCGACTTATATGGGACAAACTGTAATTAAAACCGCAAAGATCCCGAACGGAGATGAAGTGTGTGGCGCTCTGGATGCGATTCCGTCTTGATGCAGTTTGGCGACTGGGAGGGGGTGCTTTTGCCTTTTGCTACTTCATTTCGTGGCTTCACAAGAGTTCACAGGTCTCCACTTGATGGCCCGATATTTCGATGGGAGGTACAAAAGTGCAGAATGCCCCTCCATCGCCAAATGCGTCCCAATTTTTCATTCTTTACCTTCCTTCTGCGAAGATGCTCGAAAAATTTTCAGGCAAATTAACAGTGTGTGGGCATGAGCTTTCGCTTGAAGAAGTTAGTGTGAGCTATACTTGTGCTCAAAATGGCACGAATGATCACGGCTACGAGACACATTCAAACGGAAAGGTATGTGTTCCGCGATGTTTCCTCTTTCACATATCTTTCATTGTTTCCATATTTCCAGTGTTTTTTATCCAGTAGTGTAGGCTTTCAATTGTCCCCCCCCCCATCTCTAGTCCCTATTGAACTATTCATATCAAAATGCTGTATTCCAGACTATCGTAATGCTTGATGTGTCGGAAGACTCGTCTTTGGTTGATGAAGGTCTCGCTAGAGAAATTACAAATCGAGTGCAGAAACTGAGAAAAGCGGTAGTTTTTTTTCAAATTCCGGTCAGAATACGTGCAGAATGAAAAAACCAGAATGACACTCCGTTGCTTCTGTAAAGCAAGTAGTTCAAGGCCAAGTTAATATCTACGGACCCTGCCGTGGTTTATTGCGTGGTGGAACCAGAGTCTTGCCAACTGGCTTCAGTTCTTACGTCGCACAAGGACAGAATTGAGGAAGCTACAGGTGGGCCTATTTTGCTGTGGTATCTGAAAAAAAAATGATTATTTGAACTAATATTTCTTTTCTGTATGAAGAAAATGCTGTTGTCAGGGACACCGTTGCGATTAGAGCGACTGCCAGAAGGTAAACGCGCTACCGTTTCCAACGTCAGTACTGTCAAGGATGCTGAAGTTTCGGTATGTGCATTTACTCTCATTGATGTTACTTGCCGATCTTCACATACAGCGGCTTCTTGGAGCAACTCTTAAACAGCGTTCAGAATTCGTGATGGCGCGCGTCGACGCGCCGTACCGCGCTGCAACGCGACGGCGCGCTACAATTACGAAAGCCTCCAACCCTATGGTCACGAACGCGGCCGCAGAGGGCCAGTGCCGATTGGTACCAGTCTGCTTGACTAGGCAAGAAGTACCATCCTTTTACCATACTCCTTCGAAACACAAGTGGCTGGCCGACGCCCATACAATCCCATCTACAGCTGCGTTCGCAAACGGGAATCGATCGGCGCCGGCCGTCTGCGTTGGCGTTCCATTGCTTGGAGCGTTGTTGCAACTGTAGCGCGTTGACGCGCGTCACAGCGAAGTCTGTACGCTGCCTGGAACGAATTTCACAATACTCTTCCCCAGTTTTCGTTTTCGCTCTCATCGATGTCGCAGCTCTAGCATTGCCTTTAATAGCGTAAGATCCCTTTCAGCTATGAAGAAATGACTGTGCAGACATTAAATAAATGTATCATTTTCAGCTATGGCTTATAGCCGATGCTCTAACGGATACCGTTTCGGTTGGTCTCAATGGGAAAACCATTCGTATTCGTTTGAAATCGAGTACGGATAAAGTGCTGAGTTATAGTGATCTACTTTATGAGGTTAGAATTCATAAGCTTACGTTTTCAAGAACGTAGTGGACCTATTAAAGGTAGTTGGCACGATAAATCTCTCAGGACGAGCAAGATTAATACGACTTGCAGGACGGAATTCCGCGACCCTGAGCAGGCGCTGCATAATGCCTTTCCCAAGAGAGGTTCCCTTATAAGAGCGCTATCGAGCCACAATATACCGACCCAAATGCCAGCCACGCCCGCTCGCCCACAAATAAACGACCGTTCCTGACGCTCTAATCGATTCATTTGCTAACAAGGGAAGGATGGTAGGTCGAAGGGCCATTTGAAATGAAATGTATACCGGCTGAAAGGTCTTCGGAGGGGAATTACCCAGCCGTCTTCCATATCTGCTGCGGACCTCCCAGAAAGACATTACGGAGCTTTTTAAGAGGAGAATACACTACGAATTGGCGGCGCAAGGCTGGCAAGAGCGTGGCAGCATGGTCGAGGGGATACGTCGTAGGGCTCACGAATGCGTGTTCGACGGTTTGGACCCTTGATGCATGCGCTCTTTTGAATCTTTTCGGAAAAGGTCCCTGTACACTTCAAACCTATTTTGCATAATTCTTGTCCCTGATAACGTCGTGACGTAATGGTTCTGAACTGATGGAGCCATTGCGAAGATCACTCCTGGCTGTTGTCTTCTCTTTCTTTGATTTGAAAAGCATACACAACAAAAGTGCATTCCAAAAGAAGATTTTGCTTCCAAATTACTTTATTCTCCAAACGACATGACTGGAAAACGAATCCGAACACACAAAGTTGTGCACGAAGAGGGTATAGTGGGGAAAATGCTTCCATTGCAGTGGCGTTGACGTGACAAACATGCTGCTGGAGATCGCGATGGGCAAGAGCTTCATTCACAACTCACATAATGTGAATTATGTCTATCTCAAAGTGGTTTCGTACCTGCTGGAAAGTTTTCGGCTCGTATGACAATCTTTTCAGCCGGAGGTGATCTCCATGAAATCGCTCGCAATGGTTCCATCATTTCAGAATCATTACGTCAGGACATTATCAGGGACAAGTGTTATGCAAAATAGCTTTGAAGTGCACAGTGACCACTTTCGAAAAGAAATAGCAAAAGAGCACACGCATCAAGGATCCAACCCTCGACCACGCATCCCAGAGCCTTACGACGTATCCACTCGGCCACGCTGCCACGCTCTCATCAGCCTGACGCCGCCGATTCGTAGTGTTGTCCCTCTAAAAAGCTCCGTAACTTCATTCTGGGAGGCCCGCAGCAGATATGGGAGACGGTTTCGTAATTCCCGTACGAAGACCTTTCAGCCGGTATACATTTTATTTCAAATGGCCACTTCGACCTACCATCCTTCCCTTGTAATCAAATTATGAGGCGAAGGGATTGTTATGAAGCGGCCGTGATACTGCATGGATATATGAGTATTTTTATGCAGCCGTACCTTCGGTAGCGGGTATTGGCAAGATGCGTACATTAAACTCGTCCAAAATGATTTCTAACACATTGAGAACGGGGGCTCTTTCTTCACAGGATTTTGAACATTTCACTCCGTTTTTTCGCCATTTCCCCACTATATAGCGCCCTACTAGCATTTTGGGCCGAGCACCGAATAATCGTGCCAACTGCTTTCAAGAACTATTTGAAGATGTAAATAGTTTTCTTTGCTTCTCTCGGAATCGTTTTTCTCATCGGCAGCTGCGGCTGCCGAAGTAGAGAATTACTCACAAAATGTTGATGGCTAAGCTGTCAGGCGTTCTGTCGCAGTTGAGTTTTCGCAGAGTGAAGTGACAAAACATGTAATTTTTCAGATTCGCTCAGCATTGGATTTGTGGAAGGGGAAGGTCTGGCTTATTCTCAGTGATGGAAAACGCTTCCATCCAACTACTCCTGTTGAAGAGCTGATTGGCCAGTTCGTGACAATACAAACGTAGATTGGCTTAGCTAGTGACTAAGTTGGCTAAGTGCTCATCCCACTTGAGAACTGGCTTGTCTCTCAGAGTT